TAAGTAGTCAAACCTGCCCAGCTTCTTGTGCTCCCTACCTGGATTTATGACCCTCGGATCCACCCAGTCACTGAAACCAAAAACTTGGGCTTCATTCTTGACTCTAATACCTCCTACTGATTATGTGACTAGTTTTCCTATCTGGTCATTTTAGAATTTATTTTGAGCAATCCATGTTTCTCCAAAATATCCTCTAACACAGCAAACTACTGGTTCCACCCTTGCTATTTCCTCACATTCTCCGTCAACATCACTTAGTGCTAGTCTCACATGGAGATGCTAAAGGCCACTCAAGAAGATTTTCAGGACTCTATCTACATGTCCATGAGTTCAAGCTTGGGTACTGTACTTTTTTTTTAGTTTAATTTTTTTATTTATTTGACAGAGAGAGACACAGAGAGAGAGATAGCGAGAGAGAGAGAGAGAGAGAGCACAAGCAGGGGGAGCAGCAGGCAGAGAGAAAGGGAGAAGGAGAGGGAGAAGCAGCAGGCTCCCCCTCTGAGTGCCCACTGGGCTTGATCCCAGGACCTGGGGTCATGACCTGAGCTGAAGGCAGACACTTAACAACTGAGCCACCCAGGCATCCCGAGTACTGTATGTTTTTAGAAGAAAAAAAATATTAGGCTTCTAGGATTAGTAATTACTTATATTGAAATTACTTTTAGTGTAATGTTGCTTAAATATGTCCAAATGCAACATTAGGTATCAACTTCTTTTAATTCTTATGTGACTATAAAATGAAAAGAAACACATATTAAATACCAACCAAATTACAACTAATAAAATTGTCAACATTTATTGTGATAGCTGATGCTGTTTTGCTGAAACTAAATTACCTCTCACATGAATTTGGCACTAACTGCTTTAGAGGAGGTTCTTTTGCATTTGGCAAGTTGATACTACCTTGGGCAGAATAATGGCTCAGTTATAAGACATTTCTCTAACTGAATTACGTGCATCACTTGGTTCATGTATTCTCACTTTATAAATTTTAGATTTACAGAATTTTGTAAAAAAAAAAACTATACCTGGTTTATTTTAAAGCATTATTTTTTTTATTTCATTCCTTCCTTCTTTTCTCTCTTCCTTTTTCTTTTTCTTCTTTCTTTTCTTTCTCTCTCTCTCTTTCTTTTGTAATTTCTACATCCCACATGGGGCTCGAACTCACAGCCCCAAGAACAGTCGCATGCTCTTCCAACTGAGCCAGCCAGGCACCGCTAAAACATTTTTAGATTTTATTAGTTTTTTTCAGCCAAAGATACTCTATGACATGATAAATTCTTCCTGTTAACTTCTGCTACTGCTGTTACTGGAGAACTGATAACGGAACATTGGAGAGGGGGTTTACTGACGCTTGTAGTGACTCTATTGGCTCTGGGGGACTGGTGTCTGCTGAATAACCAAAGTGTTTCTGTTGAACACAGGCCCAGTTTAAACTCCTGTATTAATATTTCTAACATCATAACTTTCAAATTAGAAAAAGGATGGAAAAAACATTAACTTGGGGCGCCTGGGTGGCTCAGTCGTTAAGCGTCTGCCTTCAGCTCAGGTCATGATCCCAGGGTCCTGGGATCGAGCCCCACATCAGGCTCCCTGCTCAGTGGGGAGCCTGCTTCTCCCTCTCCCACTCCGCCTGCTTGTGTTCCCTCTCTCGCTGTCTCTCTCTGTCAAGTAAATGGATAAAATCTTAAAAAAAAAAGGATCCTGGGATCAAGTCCCGCATCGGGCTCCCTGTTCTGCAGGAAGCCGGCTTCTCCCTCTCCCACTCCCCCTGCTTGTGTTCCCTTCTCGCTGTGTCTCTGTCAAATAAATAAATCTTAACAACAACAAAAAAAGAAAAAACATTAACTTAAATTGTGAAACCTAAGGGAAAAAATCCTAATTTTAAGTGAAAAATTAGTAGTGATAGAGCAAGACACACATTAATGATGTGAGAGCTCTAAACTTCCTATTTACAAGGGCTTTGGTGGTTACAGGTTTGGAAAGAGCCCTGACACTTGTCTTGAAAATGCACTTTTTGGGGCACCTGGTAGCTCAGTCAGTTGAGCGTCTGCCTTTGGCTCGGGTTACAATCCCAGGGTCCTGGGATAGAGCCCCGTGTCAGGCTCCCTGGTCAGCGGGGAGTCTGCTTTTCTCTCCCTCTGTCTGCCGGCTCCCCCTGCTTGTGTGCTCTCAAATAAATGAATAAAATCTTAAAAAAGAAAATGCACTTTTATAGCATGCAGCCTTTTAAATACATTTTGAATATAATTTGCATACAATAAAATTCAATAATTATAAAAGTATGATTTTTTGAGCTTTGACAAATATTTAGTCATGTGACCACGACCACAATCATGATAAAGATCACAGAACATCACCCCTATCACCCTCAAAAGTTCTCTTGCACTTTTTTGCAATCAATCCTATACCCTACCTCTGACCTCTGATAACCTTTGTCTACTTTCTTTGCCTTTTCTAAAATGTCTTATAAATAGAGGTGCCTGGGTGGCTCAGTTGGTTAGGCAACTGCCTTTGGCTCAGGTCATGATCCCGGAGTTCTGGGATCGAGCCCTGTGTCGGGCTCCCTGCTCGGTGGGGATTCTGCTTCTCCCTCTGACCCTGCCCCCTCTCATGTGTTCTCTCTCAAAAAAATAAACTCTTAAAAAAAAGTCTTACAAATAGAATTATACAGTATTTTGTATCCAGCTTCCATCATGTATCACCCTCCCCCTCTCATGTGTTGTCCCTCAAATAAACTCTTAAAAGTCTTATAAATAGAATCATACAGTATTTTGTATCCAGCTTCCATTGTGTATCTTTTTTTTTTTTAAGATTTTATTTATTTAAGGGGCGCCTGGGTGGCTCAGTCGTTAAGCGTATGCCTTCGGCTCAGGTCATGATCCCGGGGTCCTGGGATTGAGCCCTGCATTGGGCTCCCTGCTCCACGGGAAGTCTGCTTCTCCTTCTCCCACTCCCCCTGCTTGTGTTCCCTCTCTCGCTGTGTCTCTCTCTGTCAAATAAAATCTTAAAAAAAAAATTTTATTTATTTAAGAGAGAGAGAGAGCACATGTGGGGTGAGGGTCAGAGGGAGAAGCAGACTCCCCACTGAGCAGGGAGGCTGACATGGGGCTCGATCCCAGGACTCTGGGATCATGACCTGAGCCAAAGGCATACGCTTAACGACTGAGCCACCCAGGCGCCCCTTAAATAAATAAAATCTTAAAAAAAAAAAGATACACAATGGAAGCTGGATACAAAATACTGTATGAGTTTCCTCAAGGAAACTAAAGCCCAAATTGGACGAGAGCCTTGCCCAGTGCTCGAATTAGAACCTTGTTTCTGTCATTACTCAGGCCAAGGTCCTTTGCCAATAATAATTTTTTTTTAAAGTAATCTGTGTGCCCAACATGTGGATCAAACTCACAACCCCCAGATCAAGAGTTGCATGCTCCACCAACTAAGCCAGCTAGGTACCCCTACCAATGAATTTTTTAGGGCCAAGATGGTATTGTCCTTTCCTTAAATTCCAAGTGAGATCACTCAACAATATTTACTGATGGCCCACTTAATTGGTCAGGACTCTTAGTTGCAAGTTAAAAAAAAAAAGGCTCTAGGAATACATTTGTTTCAGTTAAGGTTGTTTCAAGGGTCAAAATCACTGAGTATTCTCTCTCTCCACCTCTAGGAAAGACTTTCCACAGGTGGGGAACCTGTAGACTCACATCTTATCAGCTTATCCATCCAGCAGTACATGCTGGATTATCCTTGGACTTCTCAGTTATGTGAGCAAAAAAACTCCTTTTTACTCCTTTAAGCCAATTTGAATTTGGTTTCTGTCACTGAACAAGTGTTCGGACTAAAATCACACTTATTAAAGAATTCTCCACAAACAAGGATAATGATAACCAGATTCTCTTCAAAACTTGGAATGAAGAGTAGTTAGTATAGAGGCACCTGGGTGGCTCAGTTGGTTAAGTGCCTGACTATTGATTTCAGCTCAGGTCATGATCTTAGGGTTGTGAGATCCAGCCTCCATTGGGCTCAACACTGGGTATGGAGTCTGCTTAAGAATCTCCCTCTCCCTCTCCCCCACACCCTCTGCTTGCCCTCAAGCTCTCTCTCTAAAAAAAACAAAAACCAAAAACAATAGTAGGCAGTAAAGTAGAAGCAAAAAGAACATGTAGAGAAGAGAGCCATCCAGGCCATGATGAAAAGGAACCTACTCTTGACATACTATCTTGGTTTCTATTCTCTACTTTTTTTTTTATTTAAAGATTTTATTTATTTACTTGAGAGAGAGGAAGAAAGAGAGAGAGAGAGAGAGCACAAGTACACATGCAGGGGGAGGTACAGAGGGAGAGGGAGAATCCCAAGCCGACTCTGCGCTAAGCCAAGTCCAATGCTGGGCTAGATCCCATGACCGAGATCATGACCTGAGCTGAAACCAAGAGTCGGATGCTCAACTAACTGAGCCACCCAGGTGCCCATATTCTTTACCTCTTCTATCTCTTCTCTACCTTTTATCTTCTTAGTCAGAACTTCTTATTCATAACTTCAGCCAATTCTTGGTTCTATCAGCACCACAGCTTGGATTACTGCATAATATCCTAAAGCTGATTTGACCCTGAAGCCCTTTTTTTAGAAACAACAAAAAGTAATTGTCAGCAAAGCCTTCTGGGCTTAACACAGAACAAGCAAGAAAAGGTTTCCTCTTCCAACTTGGTAAGGCTCCTCATGACATCCTATGATCTGAAATAATCAGTTATAACTAATGCGGAGACTACATTTGGAATAGATCACATGTTGGCTTCCCTGAAGGAGGCGTGACAAGACAACTATGATCCTTTCCAGTAAGTAATCACGCCTGCAATTTTCCTTGTTCTTTGTTACTTAATATCTTTGAGTCTCAATTACTGTGGCAATAAAATGAGGGAAATCACCCACATCATGGATTTGGAAGAAGAAATGAAACATGTAAAATGGCTAGTATATAGCCATCACTCAGTGAATATTAGTTCTCTTCCCTCAAATTTTAATACATCATTTACTATAAGTATTACCCAAATGCCTTATAATTTATACAATGGAACAGTACTATTCCACATATGACAAACATTAAGAATGACAAGAAGAATCAGGATTTTTTATAACCTATAAAAAGTTGCTGCAGTTTTTCAAATAATTTTATTGGACTTAAAATTCTTTTAAGGGATATACAGATATACAACTAGTTTGATCAGCTACTAATATATTTTGGTATCCCTTTATTCTTGTACTCAAGAGCCAGTTCACCTTTTCTCCATGTTCAATACTTAGCTTTGGTAAAATTTTGCCATGTCCTTCTTCATCTGTTACTGGAGCATGAGTGCTTCCACCCTGCTTGGTATAAGCTGCTCTTTTAGTTTTCTTCCTGTGAGTAGGTTTTGTAGGACTCTTCTGTTTTTTTTGAACTTCACTGCTTACATCCCACAACATTATCTTCCCATCATTCCCTCCAGTAAGCAGCAAATAGGATTCTGGCAAAAAGCAGACCTGGGATACTCCCAAAGAATGGCCCTTAAATCCCAGTTCTTGTTCACATTTAACTCCCATCACCCTAAAGATTCGAACCTTACCATCTTCTGCACCACAGCTAAAAATATTGCCACATGATGCCACAGACAGAGAGTGGGCTAAAGCAGGGTTTAAAAGCTGACCAGGTGATTGTGGGCTTTCCATCTCTTCTGTTTCATCTTCCTGCAAATTTGTAATCCAGAGTGGCCGTGCTTTCTGAAGGTTCCAGAGCATTACCTTTAAATAAGAGGAAGTTACGTAGTCAAACAGAGGTTTAGCCATTTTGCTCAACTATTATGCTTACTCCACTTCTAATAAAGTCATCAAAGTGGTCTGACAATAATTACTATGACACAGTTCCAGCAATATTAAATTTTTATTTTCTTTTTTTAAAGATTTTATTTATTTATTTGACAGAGAGAGACAGAGCAAGAAAGGGAACACAAGCAAGGGGAGCGGGAGAGGGAGAAGCAGGCTTCCCGCCGAGCAGGGAGCCTGATGTGGGGCTCGATCCCAGGACCCTGGGATCATGACCTGAGCCGAAAGTAGACGCCTCACAACTGAGCCCAGGTGCCCCAACAATATTAAATTTTTAAAAGTTCATATGGCACCACAATATGCCAGTGGAATGCTACCCTGGTGCCAAAACTAGGATGCCAATGGGCAGTAAGGTAGGGTTTAGAAAACAAGATCCTAAATAACTTCTGATTAACAACCCCATTAAAGTGTAATCCACATTCTTAAGTTTCTTTAAGTCATTGTACCCTCATCTCTGCAAGTAAAATAGAAGACTATGAAATTTATCTTATTTTTAAATATTTCATTTATTTATTTGACAGAGAGCACAAGCAGGAGGAGCGGCAGAGGGAGAGGGAGAAGCAGACTCCCCGCAAAGCAGAGAGTCCAATATGGGGCTTGATCCCAGGACCCTGGGATCATGACTTGAGCTGAGGGCAGACGCTTAACCGACTAAGCCATTCAGGAGCCCTGAAGATTATGAAATTTATTAATTTTAGTCTATGCCGGTTGCAAGTCAAAAGCTGTCAAATAAATGAAATCTGGAATGCTTTCTCTTTCCTTTCACACTACCTAAATTACCCATTTTAGGGGCTTACCTCAAGTCGCTATCCATCTAAGAAGGCTTTCCTAACTATTCCAGCCTACTTCTCTCTTTCCCATATTTAATTTCTACGCTATTAACTAACATATACTACTAGCTTGTCAGTTGAAATTTAATTCTTCTTTTTTAAAAATTTTAAGTAGATTCCATGCCCAATGTAGGGCTTGAACTCATGACCCCAAGATCAAGAGTCGCACACTCCACTGCTAAGCCAGCCAGGAGCCCCGAGATTCAATTCATCTTTGCTAATGTCTAGCACAATGCCTGGAAAAGAGCAAAAATTCCATACCTATCTGTTGGTTAATTTGACATCCTGATATATGCGGTTTTTTGTTGTTCCATACTATGATTTTGAACCTATTAAATTGATTTAAATGAAATGCTAATTAAAGCCTGTATAAAACAATTTTAGTATATGTGCTGCCGAAGCGAGCACAAGCCTGTATAAAACAAAACAAAAATCTTTGTGAACTGATTTTACTCTATAATCTAGTGATTCATTTTATTCCCACAGCAACTAATCCGAAAAGGAAAATATTCTTCATATTTTAGAGTATAGAGAATAGAATAGCCATATTTTACCATCTAGTATTTTTATTTTTTTAAAGATTTTATTTATTTATTTGACAGAGAGAGAACAGTGAGAGAGGGAACACAAGCAGGGGGAGTGGGAGAGGGAGAAGCAGGCTCCCAGCTGGGCAGGGAGCCTGATACGGGGCTCGATCCCAGGACCCTGGGATCAGGACCCAAGCCAAAGGAAGACGCTTAACGACTGAGCCACCCAGGCACCCCCCCATCTAGTATTTTTTAAAAAATATTTTATTTATATATTTATTTAAGAAAGTGCACGAGCAAGTGGGGAGAGGGGCAAAGGGGGAGAGAGAGAGAGAAAAAAAGAGAGAGAGAATCTCAAGCAGACTCCACAATGAGTGCGGAGTCCAATGTGGGGCTTGATCCCATGATCCTGAGATAATGACCTGAGCCGAAAACAAGAATCAGATGCTTAACTGACTGAGCCACCCAGGCACCCCATATTTTACCATCTAGTATTAGCCTTAAATTATGACTCACAATTTAAAATGGACACTAGAATAAGCATGACCATGTTCAGTCAAAAGCATAGATCTGAATTGATAAGATTACCACTGCTGATGATATTAAGGATTGGTTTTCTATTGAACGTAACTTCCCTCAACTCAGCCTTCCAAAAGTAACATCTCATAAAACTTACATTCTGTTTCTATCAAGGAAAGCACTGAAAACCCTTTTGGATTAGATTTATAACATTATACTAAGTGGCCAGCAGTTGCTATTTGGCTGAAGACAAAATACTAAAAAATCAAAGTAAATTAAAGTAAAATAAAAAATATCGGAAAATATAACAAAGATGAACAAGTACTAAAATGTAATGTGGAAACAATCTCTATAAAAAAGTCTGAACACAAGGAAGATAGACATTCCAGAATCTGCTAGTTTAAATGTCTCGGCAGGTATCCCCAAGTCTTTCTTGCACAGCCCTGCGTGATGCCTGGATTATATTTTCTATCCTCCTAAGGCATCTAAGCATAAACTATACCCAAAGTGTTTTCAGCAGATTAAACATTTTTTTGTATTTACTGAAATCATCTAAATGTGTTAACAGGCATCCCAGATTCTACCAATCCAAGAATCATTTCCAAGTACTGAAGATTCCCAGACTGTTCCTGCCTGGACATTCTCTATACCATTTTATTCTAACTAACTGCCAAAGATTCTACAGTGTTTTACAATTTCTCAACCACTGGTTCAAGCGGTGTCACCCTAAGCAAGAAAGCAAGAGATACTGAGAAAAGAATACAAAAGTTTGGGGTATATGGTCCTAAAATATGTCAGAGGGGGAGAAAGTGGACAACTGGCAAATGTTCAGAAGAGAATGCAATCACATCCAAGTGACCCTGCTTAGGAATTTTTCCCCCTACAAAAACATTTCCTTCCACACAGAAGAATCATTTTCAAGGAAAAAAAGCCTCTTTTACCAACCTGATCCTTAAGTGTTGGTACTAGTGATCTCTCAAACTCCGGAAAGAATAACTAATGTTTGAACCATTTATTTTCAGATGTGGAAGGGAAGAGCAAAAAAAATCAATGTGTATGCCACAGAAATATATGATGGTCTTAAATTTCCAAAGGTCTTTACAAGAGAAAACTATATTTGAGTGATGGCCACCGATGTATTTATTTAATTTTATTCTTATACTTTACACACATATCTTATAGCTACTTAATAAAAATTAAGCAGTCTTGGGTGCCTGGTTAAGCATCTCAGTAGGTTAAACATCTGCCTTCAGCTCAGGTCATGATGCCAGGGTCCTGGGATCAGGCCCCACATCAGGCTCCCTGCTCAGTGGGGAGTCTGCTTCTCCCTCTGCCCCTCCCCCAATTCATGCTTGCACTCTCTCTCTCAAATAAATAAATAAAATCTTAAAAAAAAATTAAGCAGTCTCAAATGTCTTAATAAATCACTTTAAGGTCCCTGCCCCTCCAAGTGTGCTTTGCTTAATTATTTAAGCCAATCTAGATTGAAGGATATAATTTGTGTAATTTCTCTAATAACAAAGATAGGTACACTATGTGTGGCAATAATTCAATTCCTGCTTTGAGATAAAATATTTGTTCAGAGAGAAAGCGCTCCCCAAATTAACCTTATAAGAATTCCCTTCTACTACTATACCTACATTCTTGGACCCTTCCATAGGCTGGCTGTTCTTAAAGTTCATTTTTTTATTTTTAAAATATTTTATTTTATTTAACTGTCAGAGAGAAAGAGAGAGTACAAGCAGGGGGAGAAGCAGGCTCCCCGCCGAGCAGGGAGCCCGATGTGGAATTCGATTCCAGGACCTGACCTGGGATCATGACCCGAGCCGAAGGCAGATGCTTAACCAACTAAACCCCCAGGCGTCCCCTTAAAGTTTAGAATCATACTGGATAACCAGGTTTTAAGAAGTAAATTGTGGAAGATATTACAGTTTCAACTTCAGTTAAGGAAAGTAATTTCCTAAAGGCATAGTTGTGCTGTCTTACCACTGTGGTTATAGCACAACCCAATACAGAAATTAATCTACAGTGAATTTTTAGCAAGTCTTGCGAGTCAAATCAATTAAGTAATCGAAATCTCCTTCTCACAAAATATTTATATCCTATACTGTTCTCTAGCAGCTGTCTGCCACTCTAACTTCTTTCCTAGAACTGGAGGCAAAATGATAAATTCTGGATGCCCCTTTCTTACTAATCCGAAAAGTATAAAGTTTACTGCCATGCCTAAGTTAATGAACCAGTGACTGACAACTGGTATAGGTTAAGGATAAAAAAATGACTAGTCCAAGAGACACTGTACAATCTGTCTACTTAAAACAGATATCCACCTGGACGTGTTAGGTTTTTCTGCACAAGCAAGTAGGCAGGTTATCACCACGAGGGTAGAAAATGCAGGTTTGTTAAGGGCTTGGTCAAGACCTACGAGTGGAAAAGGAGTTTATAGGTCATAGGATCACTGTGCACCTCAAGTGTAGAATGATTCTCAGTAGAGGAACTATACACATTTTTGGTAAGACAATTTTTTATTGTTTCGGGACTGTCCCAGCGCTGTAAGACAGCCCCTGGTTCTGCCTACTAAATACCAGTAGTCTGGGGGAGGGTAACAGCAGTCATTATGAAAACAACAACAACCAGCCTCATTTATTTCTAACTTATGAGGGGGTGAAGAGGATAGAGAAGGGAGTAGTAAATACTGCTGGCCAAAAAGGCAGAAAGACAAATCTTTGATGCTGTTAATGGAATCATGCTCTTGAAAGATACTTACACAGTTAAGAATGTAGATTAAATGCCTAGAACAGTGCAGGGCACACAGGTCATGAATCAACAATGGTTCTTTTTCTAGAAGTCACCTGTTCCCAAACCAAGAACTTTTTCTACTACATTACTCATGATATCCTGCTTGATACTGCTGGTGTCACAGAAAAAATATATAGGCTTTGGAGCCAGAGAGACTGAAGTTTGGAATCTCAATTCAGGCAGCTATGTGGACACTTATTTTAAACCCCAGTCTCATTTCTAAAAAAGAAAGAGTAACTATCAGGGAGTGACTAGAGTAAAAACTAATATTTGTAAAGCACTGGCAAGTACTATGTGCTCACCAAAGAGAAGCCATGATTATTCTCACTCCAGTGATACAAGATTTACTTTTAAGAGGAAGTACATCTGCTATGGGAAAGTTCAAGCTCTCTGAAAGCTCCCCTTTACTAAGCCAAAATCTGGGGGTGCCTGGGTGGCTCAGTCAGTTAAGCGTCTGCCTTTGGCTCGGGTCATGATCCCAGGGTCCTGGAACTGAGTCCCATGTCGGGCTCCCTGCTCGGCGGAAAGCCTGCTTCTCCCTCTCCCCACTGCTCGTGCTCTCTCGCTCTCTCTCAAATAAATAAAATCTTAAACAAAAAACCAAAATCTGCTTCCCTAGGACTTCTATTTAGACTAGCACATTCCACTTTTTCCTCATGAAAATCAAGAATTAAACACTTCCATTTCCCCCACAAAATGGAGTTTCTAGATATATCTACTCGCCTTATGGCTTTCCTCTGAATTTGGTCTGTTTGTGATGTTCCTCTTAAAACTCATTGAATGCAATGCTCTGACCTTGATCACCAATACACAATATTTCAGTTGATGTACCACAGAATTTTAAAGTAAGAAAAAATCCCAGTTCTTCATTAAAAAAAAAAAAAAAAAACACACAAAAACAAAACAGAGTTTGTAGAGAGTGGGTGATAACGTCTGCCTTCAGCATGCTCTTTTGTTTAAAAAGATATTAAAATCAAATATTCAAATTCCCAGAGTTTATCACTTTTAAGCATAGAGAAAGGAAGGCTAAAGGATAAATGATGACTTTGTGAATGAAACCTTCCAGGCTTTCTCAAGTTAGCATTAAACATGCAGTAGAAGTAAGGCTTATGATTCATACATAGAAAAGACATGTCAGTAGAGAACAGAAAATGCAAAGATATATTTAGCCTGATCAGTAATCCAATCATTACCAAACCCATTTAGAAATTACCCAAGTACTCTCTGCAAAGCATTACCTGCATATCCAGTCCACATGATACCAGGCTCTGAGGCCTTTGAGGCCGAAAAGCTACAGAGGAACAGATATTGGAATGTCTCTTCAGTGATCTGCTAACTTTCTTATTTTCCAAGTCTAGGATTTTAATTGCCCCGGAGTCATCAGCAGAAGCCAGCAGGTTTTCAGTTTCATTCAATGAGAGACAATTGATTTCTTCTTCATTCACATGAAATTGGTCCAAGGAACCTTTGAGGGATCTGACATCCAGTAAGCTAATGGTTTCTCCATGTGATGCATAGAGCTTGGTGGGGCAGGAGGGAGAGAATACGACACTGGTAACATCATCAGCCCCTTGGAAGCGTGTATGTCCTAAAGGAGTCCCATCTTCACCCCAGGCCATGAGATCACCGCCCTCTGCTCCAGAAGCCACTAACCCTTCTTGACTTGCATTCAGGCAGAGAATAGAAGAATGTCCACCAGTCCACTTGACTGCCATTATGGCCCAGGAGACTCTGTGAAGAGGAGGGGGGGGAAAACTATAATCTCTTATTTATGAACCTGATGGTAGCAGACTAAGGCAATACGCAGTATTTCATTTAAATACTTTTAAAAGATATCTAAAAAAACTTAATTTAAAAAAAGACATTTGAAGATCAAGTCTACAAAAGCCTAGTTGGGACACAGGATTGTGGGGTACCTGGCTGACACATGCATAAATAGGCTCTTTTTTTTAAGATTTTATTCATTTATCTGACAGAGAGAGACACAGCAAGAGAAGGAACACAAGCAGGGGGAGTGGGAGAGGGAGAAGCAGGCCTCCCGCTGAGCAGGGAGCCCAATGCGGGGCTGGATCCCAGGACCCTGGGATCATGACCCAAGCTGAAGACAGACACTTAACGGCTGAGCCACCCAGGAGCCCCATAAATAGGCTTTCTTTGTAATCACAGACCCAGGCAAACCTGGTCTTCCATCACTTGATGTGAAGCCCACATAAGAATAAACATAGGGGCACCTGGGTGCCTCAGTTGGTTGTCTGTCTTAGGCTCAGGTCATGATCCTGGGGTCCTGGGATCAAGCCCCATGTCAGGCTCCCTGCCCAGCGGAGCCTGCTTCTCCCTCTCCCTCTGCCCTCTGCCCCCCATTCTCTACCTCCCCCTGAAGTAAATAAATAAAATCTTAAAAAAAGGGAATAAACATTATATAAATTAGGAAAAATACTTTTTAAAAGAGAGCCGCTCAATCATCAGATTATATCTTTTATCTCAACGTTTTAGAGAATGAGCTCTGGAGCTAGATTCTCTAGGTTTGAATAGCTTTACTACCTATTATTAGCTGGGTGACTTTGGGCAAGTTACTGAACTTCTCTGTGATTCATTTTCCTTCTCTATAAAATGGGGGGGGTAATAATAATAGCATCATTTTATAGGATCATGGAAAATTAAATAATATATATAAAGCACATATAATAGTGCTTGGTACATGAGTGTTCAACAAATATTACCATTATCACTTTCTCTATTTTTTTTTTAAGATTTATTTTTTAAAGTAATCTCTACACCCAATGTGGGGCTCAAACCCACAACCCTAAGATCAAAAGTCGCACGCTCCATTGACTGAGCCAGTCAGATGCCCCCACTTTTCCTATTTTCATTAGGCTGGTCAAAGCGGCATCACAGATCTACACCAATGATGCTCCAAGTTTGGCCTCCAGACCGGCAGCATCACCTAGGAACTTATAAATATAAATTGCCCAGTACCACCCTAGACTAACTGAATCAGAAATGCTGGGGTTGGGGCCCAGCCATGTGTTTTAAGAAGTCCTCTGGGTGAGGCTGATGTATACTAAAATTTGAGAATACTACACCAATAATCATCCAGGGATTTGGTTAAAAATGTAGATCCTTGGGTTTTACCACCAGAGACTAATTCAGTACATTATTTAACTTTATTCTCAACACAACCCTTCTGTTTAGTATTATTCCATTTTAAAGATAATAAAACTTGAGTTTCAGAAATGTTAAATAATTTGATCAAAGTCATCTGGCCCTTAGGATTTGTACATGGGATCCAATATAAAGGGATCCCCCAACTTGTAAATAACGAAGACCATTTTCTAACAATTCCACTTGACAATAGTTTTTAACTTGTTAGTATTCTCTGAAAGTACAGAAAATAACCAAAAGCCACGAATAATTCATTACTGCTTTTAAATGTACTCAGCTATTTTTATTATTTTTTAAAGTTTATTTATTTATCTCTAGACCCAACATGGGGCTCAAATTCACAACCCTGAGATCAAGAGTCACATGTTCTACTGACTAAGTCAGCCAGGCACCCCATACACACTTTTTTTTTTTTAAGATTTTATTTATTATTTGACAGAGAGAGAAAGACAGTGAGAGAGGGAACACAAGCAGAGGGAGTGGAAGACGGAGAAGCAGGTTTCCCGCTGAGCAGGGAGCCCTACGTGGGGCGTAATCCCAGGACCCTGGGATCATGACCCAAGCCAAAGGCAGACGCTTAACGACTGAGCCACCCAGGCGCCCCTACTCACACATTTTTAATTACCTTATTACCCACTTACACTTCACAGTAGTATTTATTGTACTTATGTACTTACGTACTTTTGTACTTATGTACAAAATTTAGATTTCCTGATAATACTAGGCATCCCAGATTTATACAATGAAATTGCCACATAATTCTACCCTGCCTCAACTGCCTGTTGGGTAAAGCAAAAAAAGGAAGTAAGGGCAATTTATATAACTCTAACTGTTCAGACAAAAGGAAGCAAGCAAATCTACCTGAACAAATTTAATGTTTCATTTCACAATACAAGGGAGAATTTCTCTAGTGAGAAACTGCCATAGTTGCTTTCATATTTTCAGATATGATACCTGAATTCAATCCAATTGTACAGATAAATTTCCTAATATTGTTTTGAAAAATAATTTAAAATACTGGCAATTTGCCTAAAGTTTCTATTGCCGACACAAAGCTTATTTCCTCCCATTTTTAGGCACTCACACATACACAAAATAACTAGACTGCTAAAAAACCTCTAATCTTTCAGTAATCAAAGTAACAGAGGGGTAGGGGAGTAACAGAAACATGGTCACAAAATCATATACAGCAATTTTCATAAAGACGACAAAATGGGAAAGACAAAAAGATACTTTATTTCAGCAGAAGCACTGAATTAGAATACAGAGGAAACTAATTAGAGACCGAAGCAAGTAAGTTTTAAAGGAGAGGTTTAGAGAGGAAATGACTCAGAGAGAGGTAAAGACAGGGAACTCTCGTGGTTTGATTTTTGCTGACAAGTAATGAAATAGTAGTTAATTTTCTACCATAAAAAAGACTTTTGCCAAATGTTCAAGATAAACCAAGAAAAAAGGACACTTAGCACAATTTAAAATGAAAGGTATTAACAATATTTAGGCCTAGGGACTACCATCTGTGGTGACTACTGACTTGTCATATAATATAGATAATATACTACCTTAAAATATGAAGTTTGTAGTAACCATTAAAAAAGCCACTTAAGTTACAAATAATTTTAACTCCTTTCTTTAGAGATCTGATCACTTATTTCCTACGTTAGTTTTAGTTTTTCTACAGTGAATCAACTTTAAAGTCCTGAAGTCTGCCCTCTACAGCTTTAGGATTTTGTGTGCATAGAGGTTTTGGATCCCTACTGGGATTTTAGGTTTTATCTAAGACAAGAATGAAATAGGGTTTCTCGTACTTCTGTTTCTCCACCACATTATCTACCCACAGGGGACCTAAGTAAATGCTGACTGGCAGACAAAGTTTTAGCATTTTCTTCTGAATATAATTTTTTTTTTTTTTAAAGATTTTATTTATTTATTTGACAGAGAGAGACAGCGAGAGCAGGAACACAAGCAGGGGGAGTGGGAGAGGGAGAAGCAGGCTTCCCGCTGAGCAGGGAGCCCGATGTGGGACTCGATCCCAGGACCCTGGGATCATGACCTGAGCCGAAGGCAGACGCTCAACGACTGAGCCACCCAGGCGCCCTGAATATAATTTTTTTTAATGGAAGAGATTAACTGAATTTTAAAGACACATCTGGTTAAGCTCACCCCAAAGTGTGAGAAATTAGGCAATAAATGGATTTTGTACTTAAAGGAACTATTATAAATAACAACACTGTTCCCATAAAATTTTCCATAATGGAACCAGTAGTATCTATTAATCTCACAAGAACAAGGTCAGCTCTACCTTCACCTCTTAAACAAATTAAACTTCTAATCTCTACATCACATGGATAATATTTACTGATCACCAACCTAGTCAGAAAAATAAAAATGGAGACCTACTATCTTATGCAGACTATTAATCACTGAGTCAACCAGAGCTCCCCAAATCACGTTTAGTCTACAAAATTAAAATTGTTATTACTTAAAACATACCCAAAGACCACCATCAAAAAGTATTAAACAACAGACTGCTGTGGTAGAAGGCAGTGGGAAAAAAATGTAATTAAATCTGGGTTAAATGAAAACAATCTTTCAGAAATGAGTTGTCAAGCCACTGTTTCTTGTTTTTCTTTTTTTTTTTGATTTTATTTATTTATTTGAGAGAATGAGAGAGAGAGAGAGAGAGCACATGAGAGGGGGGAGGGTCAGAGGGAGAAGCAGACTCCCTGCCAAGCAGGGAGCCCGATGAGGGACTCGATCCCGGGACTCCAGGATCATGACCTGAGCCGAAGGCAGTCGCTTAACCAACTGAGCCACCCAGGCGCCCTGTTTCTTGTTTTTCTCTTACTGGGACTGGAAAGCCTACCAGAAATAGGTAAGTGCCATTATCTCCATATTCAGGTATCAGGTCAACAAACTTCTCTTCTCATAGGTAACGTCTAAAGGGTAACGTCTAAAGCACAGCAATTAATCATGTCCTATTGTGAATTACTCTAATTAGATAACAGATTCTTTCAACACCTAATGAGATCGTGGAGTGGGCAGGGAAAGGTAGGGTATCTTGAGAGCAGTTTTAGAAAGGGTGGAGGGCAAAGATGGAAGTTCTGAACAACAGGCAAGAGGGTACTAAACATCAGGGAGGGGCAAGGTCAGGAGGGTGATCTGTAGAAAGAAAAGGACCTAGTCATAAAGAAAATCTTTTCCAGGGGCGCCTGGGTCGCTCAGTTGGTTGGCCAACTGCCTTCGGTTCAGGTCATGATCCTGGAGTTCCGGGATCGAGTCCCGCATCGAGCTCCCTGCTCAGCAGAGAGTCTGCTTCTCCCTTTGACCCTCCCCCCTCTCATGCTCTCTCTATCTCATTCCCTCTCTCAAATAAATAAATAAAATCTTAAAAAAAAAAAAGAAAAGAAAATCTTTTCCAGGGCACCTGAGTGGCTCAGTCGGTTACGCATCCGACTCTTGATCTCAGCTCATGTCTTCATCTCAGCGTGGTGAGTTCAAGCCTTGCACTGGGCTCCACACTGAGCATGGAGCCTACTTAAAAAAAAAAAAAAGATTTAAAAGAAATTTAAGTGCCTTCCCAGACAAACCTGGACCTCCTTCCTTGGATGTCCTACAGCTGAAAGTTGAAAAATGAATAATAAAACTCCCTAGCCTGAGATTACACTACCATTCAAATAATATAAGGTAATCATTATCACTATAGTAAGTATAAGTCAACTTTTCTTCACATGTTTGGGTTTTCCAAAGTTGGCCTTGATGTGGAGAAGCTGGATAGCAACCAAAATGATTGAAGGCCTGTGGCATCAGCACTAGTAAGGAAAGAATCTGGGTTACTAAGCTGGGAGAAAAAAACATCTGGGAAGAAGGGACTAGCAAATAATAACCAAACACCATTTACCAGAGAGTTGAGAAGGTAGTTGCTGTTGTTTTTAATGGAGAACTAGAAAGGTATTATATAGGGCAGGGGAACTACTGGAAAGGTTTCTTACCACATAAAGGCAAGACAGTGGAGTTAACTACTAAGGAAATCTGTGAACCCTATAATTATCTCAGAGTTGTTTTGAAAATTATATAAAACCCGAGTAAAGGACCCTACCACAGTGCCTTGTTCACATGATGGTTAGTATTTTCTCTCACAAAGCATTCTTTAAAGGCGGTCAGAAAACTTTTGGCCACCTAGGAAAATGCAGTATGACCAAATAATGCTTAAATTCTTTCTCTTCCAATAAGTCATCTATAATTACAACCTCCACATCATTCTCCCTATTGGAATGTCTAATTATATAAAAACACGCTGCCTTGATCCGCCCACTAATCGGGTTAGTAGGAAAAACTGGGAAAGGCTACATTTTGTCCAAAAGAATGGAGGACTTAATCAGCAATTACGCGGCACTTTCAGGCTATCCAAACATTTGGGCGGGGGGTGGGGGGAGATTTAAATGACGACCTTACTTGCCGAATACACGCTAGGACACATGCTCTGATTAAGTACCACTACCAATAAAGAACAAAAAGGTCTGACCAGGAGAAGACGACCTCAGCTGCCGAAAGTAAAGGAAGAAGATCCAATTCAAGCCGAAGGTGGCGGAGCTAGGAAGTGGCTAGCAAGGAGAGGGAAGGCATGCGTTAGGTTGGAGTCTGAAGCAGAGACATGACACAGGGAAACCTCACAGGGAGAGGGGCCCAAGAAGGCCGACGCGAGAGCACTAGATCAAAAGAGGAAAAGGCACCGGAGGACAGCCACAAAAACCACAGGGGCCAGCCTCATACCTGCGCTTCCCGCTTCCCTCCTCGGCGCCTCGCGATGACCTCACCCGTGGGCGCCCAATCCTATGTAGGGTTGGGCGCGGGGCGCCTCAGCCAAACAGTCACATCCGGGGCCGAGAGGAACCGCGAGCGAGCTGGGCGTGCGCCCTTGCTTCGTGCCCTCAACCAGTATGGCGGAGCCACGGGCGCGCCGCGGGGAGGCCGTGCGAGTCCGGCGGTTCCGACGCCCGCGCTGAGCCGGAGAGGAGGGGCGGGGGAGGCCCGTGCGGCCCGTGCGTCTGCCCTCAGTGAGGCGGGGCGCGCGGCGGACGCCCCCGGGCAGGGGCGGGAGTGGTGGAGGGCCGGTGGTTGGCTGTGAAAGGGGCGGTGAGCGAGGTGCTCCGGTCTCGAGGCGAGGCTTGGCCTCCCCAGCAGAGACGGGGGGAAGCGGCGGCGGCAGCGGCGGCCCTTGGGCCGGCTGGTGAGGCGATGGCGGCGCCAGCCCCGGGGCCTGGGGCAGCCTCCGGCGGCGCTGGCTGTAGCGGCGGCGGCGGCGCGGTCGGCGGCTCGGGCTCCGGGTCCGCGGGGGCAGGGGGCCGGCTGCCTAGCCGGGTGCTGGAATTGGTGTTCTCCTACCTGGAGCTGTCCGAGCTGAGGAGCTGCGCCCTGGTGTGCAAGCACTGGTACCGCTGCCTGCACGGTGATGAGAACAGCGAGGTGTGGCGGAGCCTTTGCGCCCGCAGCCTGGCAGAAGAGGCTCTGCGCACGGACATCCTCTGCAACCTGCCCAGCTACAAGGCCAAGGTGAGGGAGCCCCGGGCCACGCCGCTGCCCCCAGTCCCGCTTCTCTGCGCCGCTCTCAGTCTCAGTGCTTCTCATCTAAGCTCTGACTCAGACGCCTCGCCTCACCATCCCGCCTTTGCACGGCTGCAATCAATACCTTACCTCACCTCCCCCCTCTGTAAAGATCCTCTTCTCTTTGAAGTTCTCTGCTCATTAACCCACCCCACTTCCGAGATGCACTTTTTAAAGGACCAGATAGTTTGCAATTCCTGGTTTCCACCACTCATTCCACTTTCCACAGTCTTCTCCCAAAAAGATAGACCCCCCACTCCCCATTATTGTACTTTTCAATACTCTTACACTATTTTTTATTAGATCATCTCAGCTGCCTTAACACCGGCTTAATTTCTAAGATCTTTGCTTTCATCCCACATTCACCTCACCTTTTCCAGGCTCTGATTTTTAACTGTTTGGTTTTTTTTCCCTATTTTCTCCCAAGTTCTCTAATTCCCTCCATTATGTTTCAGGCTTATAAGTGAGTGTGGTCCTAGACATTCTGCTAACTTTCAAGATGCAGGCTTTAATAGAACATTCCCCACTTCCCCCATGGGCACCACTTAACCGTCGTAATGCTGCCTTGTCCCACTATTATTGGCTACTTCCCTGCCAACTTTTTCATAGTTCCACCTTGGTGGTGTGCCTCTTCTGTTCCATTTGTCATCTAACGTGCTGATTCCGGTTTTGCTGCCTCTTTGCCTCCTAGATTCTAGGGCATATTCCTGCCTTCTTCATATACAGATAAAACTGTCAAGTAACAGGTTATGGTAGGGTTAAGAAGATTCTTCAGGCAGTATAAACAAAGGCCTGAAGCTTGAATTCAGTTGGATGGATAATAGCTATTCAGTATAGCAGTCACTGGGAGCATATATGAGAGAGGATGAAGTCTGCCCTAGAATGTGGTAAACATAAAAAAATACCTTAATAACTAAAAAGGGTAGATACCCTTTTTCAAACTAGACTGCCAGGGAGGGGAGTCAGAGTAAGAAGTAAATTTATTTTTCCATGTGAAATAAATGTAAAATTTATTCTTCTGTAACAAAGGAGGTTTTAGTTTAATATGGTAAGGAATATTGCCATTATCCATGTCAATTATTAAATTTTCTATTAAGTGAAGTAACATGTTAATTTACTAGGACAATATTTGTACATGGTGGATGCTCAGTGAATACTAGTTGTAATTTATGTAGCAGAGCGCAGAACATTGCAGTTTTGTCCTGCTTTGCCTAAAAGCAGGTAGGCTTCATACATTTTATTTAGTTTTAATTTTTTTATAAAGTTTATTGTTTTTACTTATTTTCAACTAAGAACTTTTTGTAATTGGTCTGTAATAGATACATTTACATGAGTCAAGATTCATATAACAATATGTGTTAGGTAATGTGTTCATGTGAGTCGACATGCAAAAGAAGTAAAATAATATCAGCAAAATGTCTTCCTTTTGCCCTTGTCTTCCAGCCACCCAGTTTAGTTTCCCTTCTTGGAGGCAACCTGTGTTACCTGTTTCTTTTGTATCCTTCCAGAGATATTTTAGGTTTCTTAGGTTTTTAACACTTTATATGTCTTTCTACCACACCCATGATAGGTATTGTAAACTTGTACTAATCATATGTTCGTTCAGATGTTGCAGAACTTTGCTTGAATGTCTTGAGAATAAAAAGATTAATTCAAAAGAAGTCAGATAGCCTAGTAGAAAGTCCTCAGTCAAGTAGAGGAGAAGAAAAATGTATAGAAATAACTAACACATGATAGAAATTGCTCCTGTTAGAGATATTATAAACAGTATATACTGGAAGTATATATATTCACACACACTAGAATTTCAGTGAAAGGAGAGATGTACAAGTTGAGTGGAGGCTTGGAGAAGGTTTGAGGTTAGGGTTATATTTGAGCTGAATTTTAAAGATAGGGAGGATTTGAACATTTTACTAAGGTGAAATACCCTGAGCCAATGCAAGACAAGAGAAAAGCAAAGGCTTTGTACAGCATATATTTTTATTTTAAAAAATGTGAGTGCCAGGCACTGTGCTCAGTTTTGCAAATGCAATGGTGAATAAAAACAGACACAAAACTCGAATGGATGCCTTGCTTATAGAGCTTACAGTTTAGTGGGGGGAGGGGGATAGATATTAATCAAATAATCACAGTTATAAAATTGCATCTGTGGTGGGTACTATGAAGGAGAGGTGCACAGTACTCTGAATGTCGGTAATGGAGGATTTGGCCAAGGTAGGGAGGTCAAGGAAGGCTTTCTCTGAGGATATAGTACATGAAGTAAAACCTGAATGATAAGGACAAGGGGAGAGAAAAGAGCCTTCCAGGAGGGAACTTGATGAGTATGAGGGATAGAAAACACATCAGTGTGGCTGGATCATAGCAAAGGTGAGACAGGTTTGAGAGAAGATGGAAGAGGTGGACTGAGGCCAAACTATAGGGAAGCCATTCTGAGTTGTAAGCAAGAGGGGGTTAGGAGTGTGGGGATTGGTGGTGTGATTTTTTTTTTTTTTTTTTTTTGCATTTTTAAGAGGTTATTTCTGACTTCGGTATAGAGAACAGATTGGAGGAGGACCTTAGAAATATGGGTAGATGAGTTAGGAAGTGGGTAGTGTAGGAGATGGGGAAGAAATTTAGGAAAGATTTTGGAAGTAAAATCTACAGGACTTGGCAATAGATTTGAAATAGGGGTGAGGGAGAGGGAGGTGCTAAGAATGACTCCTAGATATCGCACTTACATAATTATGGGAATCACCTGGGCTGGATTAGGAGGAATAGTCGTGAATTCAATTTTGGTAGAGTAGAATTTACAGTGTTTTTGAGACATCCGAGAGATTTCAGATGGGCGGCTGTTAAGAGTTTGGAGCATAGAGGAAAGGCTAGAGATATAAAAGGGTCTAGTGAGATTGAATTGAAGTGGGGAATATGATTGTAAAGGTAAGTTGAAACTAGATATATCATGGATATTCTTGGCTTTTAGGCTTCATTGTATAGTTTGGGCTTTGTTCTACCATTGTAAATCATAGACGTTTGAACAGAGGAGTGACAAATAAGAGCTAATGCTTTAGAAAAACTAGGCCATAATATGAATTGGACAGAGCAGGGCTTAGTACCTATGCCAGAGGTACTTAAGACCTGAACAAATATGTAGAGGAGAGAAGAGGATGTCTGGGAGAGCTATAGCAGAGAACAAATTCACATAGGTGGACAGCTGCCTGGGAGTGAATGAGATGAAGAAGAAAGAGTCTAGATAGGATTTCCAGGGAGCCTGTGTAACTAAGAGGAGGATGGGAACAGGCATGGGCTAGCATAAAACTGGAAAGTATTGTTGCCAGTCTATTTAGGATTTGTCTTCCTTTTAAAAGTTCATATTTTATGTGTCGCAAAGGAACATCAATTATTTCAGGCATACTTAGCATCTAACTATAATATATTCTCTAATTTTTAGATCTAGATCCTAAAGTAGGTCTTAAAGTTGTTTGTTATAATGTAAAATTTAGATTGTGCATGAGACTGTGAGACAGGAACTATGGATTGTTTTTATTTATTGAGTTGCATATTTTTCCATTTCTTTTTTTTTTTTAAGATTTTTTATTTATTTCACAGTGAGAGACACAGCGAGAGAGGGAACACAAGCAGGGGAAGTGGGAGAGGGAGAACCAGGCTTGCAGCTGAGCAGGGAGCCCAATGTGGGGCTCGATTCCAGGACCCTGGGATCATGACCCGAGCCGAAGGCAGACGCCTAACAACTGAGGCACCCAGGCACCCCTATTTTTCCATTTCATCTGAATTTTTCAGATGAAAAACTATCTTAAAGATAAGGATATAAATAAAAGAAAAATTATCAAAAAATTATTGAAAAGATGAGGACACTTAATCACAATGTCAATATCAATGAAGTATAAAGAAATTAACAATAATTCCTTAATGTAAATGATACAGTGTTCAAATTTCCAATTGTTTCATAAATGTCAAGTGTTATAGCCTTATTTTTCAGTTTAATCAAGATCTATATAAGGTTCTCATGGCAAACAGTTGATATATCTCTTAAGGCTGTTTTAGCCAACAAATTCAGCCTCCATCTCCCCTAACTCCCATTTCCGCAACTTACCTGTTGAAGAAACCAAGTTGTTTACCTTCTTTCCCTCAGTCTGGACTTTGCAGATTTCATTGCCATAGTGTTCCTTAACTTGCCCTTCTGTTCTAGACTGAGAGAAGTTTGATCAGTTAAGATTAGTGT